AAAAAAAAACTAATTTTTCCACTTTTTCATCTGCTCATCTCCGACGAGACTAAAACTTTTTAAACAAAAACTAAAAAAAATAGCGGATCACGCTATGAAGTCCAGTTATCACCCGAGTCACAAATTCTCCCTCAAGGTACAAAGAATAACTTCTTGAGCTTCTTCATTTTCTTAACAAATCTCTCCTTTAGTAGATGAAGTTGTGTAAAACGGAAACTAATATATGAATGAGGCATCTGTAATTACGAGACATTACCGGCTTCTTTTGCAAAGACAATAAATGGTATCTTTTGTACAATGGCATCTAAAAATGTCCACAACTAACCTTTTGGGGGCACTGTTGGCTACAAGGACCACTGGCTGTACATTTATTGTCTAATTCTTTAGGATCAGCGGCAGCTGCATCATCTGGCTTCATACACTCCTACAAATAGGTAAAAAGAAACGTAAAATTTTTGCCACAAATATTGAAACAAGCAATCAGATAACAAAAATCGAAAGTCTCACTAACCAAACCAAAGTGGCCCAACTGCCCACAGTTGTAACACGAAGCTCCTACAGGTCCTTCAAACTTATCATCTACACAGCAGAAGTGACCAGACTTTTGACAAACGTAACACCTGATAGCCTGTCGAAAAAAAAAAAAACAATTCAATTTAAGACAGAAAACTGTAATTGTGAGGTTATGAGTTCTAAGGAAGCATGTCTATAGCTATGAATCGAGAGCTCCACGAGGTAAATACTAGTTTGTTTCCTTGAAGAGACAACAAGATAGTGTGGGGACAAAAGTGAATATTCTCTTGATTTACTAGTTATGACAGTACAAAAACCGTGTAAATTTTCTTAAAACAGTTTCCACAGCTAAAACACAAAAGTTTAATTTAGAAAAACAAAACAGAATCAGCTATCGCAAAGATACAAATATATTGATAAAGCGAGAGTGTCTAAAGCCACGATCTTTTGAAACTCATATTTATGTATATTAAGAAAACATTATAAATGATTTTCTTGTTTTTCACCACCAAAATTATATATTCATGACTTAAATTATCTACTTTTTTTTTTCTATTCCACTTATTCAAAATATGTCCAGAACAATCATACATCAAGCAAAAATATTTCACAACACACACCATAGGCAAAAGTCAATAGTTGTTTCATTTTTATTTTTTTTTTCTGTTCTCACACTATAGCTTTTCCAAGAGAGGATGCAAAAGGAGTTCCTTAGTATATTATAAACTGACTCCTCTTGGAGAGGCTGCTATTTCTGTATATATTTTACCGGACCTTACTTTACATAAAAAGGACATTTAAATTAGTTACGTCACATACTGACTGCAAATCAATCAAAAGAAAATAGAAAGCAAAACAAAATGTTCACGTGCCTTAAGATCTTCGGAGTCAAAGTTATTGATACATGAGAGCATGTCATGCCCTTTGTCTCCACATTTTAAACATAGTCGAGAAGTAAAATCGACTGGGTTGCCTTTATTTGGACAGCCTACGATGAGATGACCCTTTTTGGAGCAAATTAAGCAACTAGTAACCTGCCATATCCATTACAGAAAAAAAAAAAAA